AGAGAAGAGTGCAGAATGAAAACCTTTCAGTCAGACGCAGTTAAACAGAAATGTTTTGAGTCTGGATTTAAACAAAAGTCAAAGTCGAGTTGGTCTCACATGTTCCAGGTTTGAGCTGCATGAATCTGAAACTCTGACTCCTCATGTTTAGTCATGACTCTGAGCACCAGTAGGAGGTCAGTCCCTGAGCTCCTCAGAGTGTGAGATGGTTCATCTCTGACGTACTTCGGTGCTCAGCCACGGAGAGACTTGTACACAAACAGAGCTGCTTTAAAGTCTATTCTAAAAAACGTTTTACAATCATTCGCTCTGGCTCCACTCTGCTCGGCTCTAGCTCCTCTCACTCTGATTGGTCAAAGCGTGTGCTCGCGTGCATTCGTGTATGGCCTCGGGAGAAAAGATCACTTCTGCACATGCTCGGTCGGCCCACAGCCACCGGAAGTACCTCGCCGGGCTAAAGGCAAATGTGGGATCATGCACCATTGAGCTCGGCCCATTGACTTGAATGAGCAGCCATTTTGAAACCCTGGGGCTTCGTCACGACTTACGAGTCAACGGCTGCTCGACCTCAGCCCACTCCCACATCCCGCTCGCAAATCCAAAGAGACGTGGATGAAAGTCCGAAGCCAGGACTGGTGGAGCCGAATCGTCCGGATTGCGTCAGAAGGACGACACAATGAACATGCGGCTGGAATTTTTAACAAGAAAAAACATAACAGGAATAAACTAATTTGGCTTTAAAATCAGAATAAACCACTCACTTAATTCAGAGTTAAGTTTAATTCCGAATAATCATTTTCATTAGGAATTAAGTGTTTGCATGGTCTTTTTAAAGCAGAATTAATTTTTATTGAGAATTAAATTATTTTTATTCAGAATTAAAGCTCTAATGTAAATGTGGCAATTGAAAGTTTGATTAAAAATTAATTATGTAACTTTTGGTAGAGGTTTTTACCACTTGCTTGTTTCTATGGAGATGTTACTTGGTCTGGAATGTTCCACTATATGTCATTATATTGGTATATCTCCATGAAAACAAAGTGTAGCAGACAAACCAAGATGCAGGTTAGATCTATGGAGAGGCGACCCTACTCACTGAGTGTGTATACCTGCACATCAATAACCCGGTTATGATCAGGTTTTTTGAGTATCCCGGTTTCTTCTTGGTGCATGTATACGCAGTACTCTGGTTTCAGTATCCCGGTTATGGCAGTATCCCAGTTATTAGAAACCAGGTTACTGTAGCTGGTTTATTCCGATAGTAACTGAGATACTTGTGGCATGTAAACGCAGTATCCCGGTTACTGCAACATAAAGTTGAGTGCGCATGCGTCCAAAAGACACTTTCCAGCCTTTCACCACAACAGTAGCGACATAAATAAATTGACCAACATAAATAAAGTGACCACACGAGTGAAATGACTGTAAAATAAAGAGCTGCACTAAACCTGCACATGTACAATCTGCACTCGTACGACCTGCACTCGTGTGATCGCTGAAAAGCTAAAACATGAACAATCTCCTGTACAACACACACACAGAACACACTCACCATCATTAGCGCCTCTTCTGTCACAGAAATAACACACATAATCCACAGAGTCGTGTCATTTAGTCCAAAAGAAACTGATCGCATCAGCGGCACAAGGAGCGAGTTGTTTTTATCGCCGCTAACAGTTTATGCTAATTAGCCAAATGGTCTTAAGTTTCGTTTCTGTAAAACGTAAACAAATGTGATCACAGCTGAATTATATGATGGGCTGATGTGTCTATAGTGTTTATGGTTTATGTGTTGTAAAGTTGAGTTTATTTATGCAGAAGATTTTAATAAAGAATCTGTTGGTTTGATGTGTGCAGTGGATTGTGGGAAATCTCGTAGCTCCTTAGCTTCTTATGCTAAAGGAGCTCATGGTTTGTATTTTTCCTGGTTTATGAAATTGATTTAAGTTAATTTTTGCGCCTGCACATTTGTAAGATTATGTCAAGAAACCAGGATACTCCATTTGATCATGTATATGAGGATATGAGTGTCCCGGTTTCTCAGTGCACATCATGGTGCGCATGTAAACGCAGTAACCCAAATACTGACATAACCAGGATATGGCTAATAACCGGGTTATTGATGTGCATGTATACCCACTCACTGTAAGAGTGCATGTTTTTCTGAGGTATTTTTGTAGCAATACAAGCATAATTGATTTCACGTTAGACAAATTTAATGCCATACTGGAGACCTTTTCAAGAACAAATATCTCCATGAAGACCGTCCAACAGAAAAGTTACATAGTGCACCTTAAAAGTCATTCATTGTTGCAAGATCCTGTTCCTGTACTCTTTGTACACTGCACTCTCATAAAGGACCTGCCTTCCATGTGTGCAGAGTAAAACAGATTGCTACAATTAAAGTTGCTTCACTTTAAGGTATTTATAGGAAGTTGGTATGTAGTTTTTGTGTAGTTTGGACGTTGTAAACACCAGCTTGATGTCACTCATTTGTTCCGATTCAACTGTAACACGGGTAAAAGCTCTGAAAAGTCCATTGTGTGTAATGGATCTGTTTTAATGCTTAGAGTTAAATCTGGTGATGTATAAAAAAACCTCCCAGTCACTGTTGCCACTGATCATGTCTTAAGGTTTGCACTTTGCACTATCATCGATACCAGATACTAAATGATACCAGTAATGAAACTAGATACTCATTCAAACAAGTACTGAAACTTGTAAAAAACAAAAATAACATAAGGCGACCTTTGACCTTTCCTGAAATTTAAGAAGAGAGGGAGACATTAGGTGAGAGAAGAGTGCAGAATGAAAAGCTCTCAGTCAGACGCAGCTGAACAGAAATGTTTTGAGTCTGGATTTAAACTGAGTCAGAGTCGAGTCTGTCTCACATGTTCAGACTGTTCCAGGTTTTGGCTGCATGAATCTGAAACTCTGACTCCTCGTGTTTAGTTTTGACTCTGGGCACCAGCAGGAGGTCGGTCCCTGAGCTCCTCAGAGAGTCAGAGATGTACTTTGGTGTTAGGTCACGGAGAGACTTGTACAAGCAGAGCCACTTTAAAATCTATTCTCTAAGACACAGGGGGCAGTGCAGAGACCTGAGCACAGGACACATGTGCTCAGACTTCCTGGTTCTAGTCAGGACCCGAGCTGCAGCGTTCTGGATGTACTGCAGCGTCTCACAGCTCGTTTGGAGAGGACAGTGAGAGGCCGTTACAGTATCTAACCTACTTTAGACAAACAAATGTATAAGTCTCTCCAAGTCTGCTTTAGACAGTAAACCTTTGATTTTTGCTGGGTTTTTTTAGATGGTAAAAGGCTGCAGATGTTATTAAGACACTAAAATCCATACAAAGCTTAGGCCCTACATCTCAAGTCAGTCTCTTTCTTCTACGATCGTATTACTGTAGTAAACTTGGACACATGCCTCACTCTCAGCATTAAAATAAACTCAGTGGTGTTAGCGTAAGAAAACATTACTACTGCTTCTATAACAGCCCACTCCCAGCAGCTGCTCTTCATTCACTCCCATATGTTTGGTGCTAAACACGCCTCAAAACACTCGGTGAGTATCCGATTTCCGCTGGGTGATGGTTTATGTACATTTAGTATTGCTCCATAAGGTCCAGTAGTGACCCTTCCCCTCGGAGGTGTGACCCAGACTGGCCCGGGATGGTCCAGAAGAGAGAGGCCCGCCCCAGCTGTGAGGCCGAACCTAACCCAGGGTCGTGTGAGGGGGTCCCCAAGCTCCACTCCTCCACACTGTCCATCCCAGAGCTCCAGGAACCATCAGATCAGATTACACCACTTGGACTAACACCAGAAATCTTTTGTATATGCATCAAAGAGTGTTTTTTCAGTGGGTAAATTAAACTATTGAGGCCGTTCAGCTGATGTCATCAGCGTTTCTCTTAGGGATGAAGCTGACTAGAGGCTCTGTTACTCAACTTTAATCTGAGCTTTACCTTGACACAATTTGACCATAAATATGTTCTCAGACAGTGAGAACAACAGGTGAGCTAATTTGTGCTTTTAAACAAGTCTCTCACGCATAAAATTGCAGTGCCGAGTTATCTAGCATTAGTCACACTCACCCTTATTAAACATCAAACACCTAAACAGCCTGATGTCACCTCAGAGTCTCCGTTACACCACTTGGACAAACACCAGAAATGTCCCCATGTGGACTGGGAAGTTGGAGGATAGTACAGAATGGTCAGTATTGTGTCTCTGCATCAGTCTGTTCTTGGAAAAATCAAACGTGGGAGCATTTGGACAACGCCACATCAGATTTGACTATGACAGAATAAACTTTGAAATGCAAGGATAAGCAAGACAAATGTGATCTTAAACTCTGTACTTTTTGGTGTTTTAATTCCAATGTCTATTAAAAAGTGAATTTGCAGCTTTGTGATATAAAATCTTCTCCCTCATTCTCCCCTTTAGTCCCCCAGACTCCACTCCCTACTCCCTTCTTTGCCTCTCTCCCTTCAGTCTCCATCCCCACTGTCCCCTTTAGTCCACCAGACCCCACCTGTCCTCCCCTTACTCACCCCTTTTGTTCGCTCACCCTGCCCTTCCTCTCTCTCCCTCTCCCCTTTAGCCCTCCATACCCCCCACTCCCCTCGTCACTCACCGTATCCTCCCATTTACCCTCCTTTAATCCAGACCTCACCCTTCCTTCCCTTTAGTCTTCCACTTTAGTCATCCAAACCCTGCTCCTCCTCCTCCCCCTCACTCGCCCCTTGAGTACACCAGACCCTTCTCACTCTCCCCTTTAGCCCTCCAAACCCCGCCCCCTCCTGCACCTCAGTCTCCCCTTTAGCCCTCCAGACTCCACCCCCTTCTTCACCTCAGTCTCTCCTTTAGCCTATCAGACCCTGCCCCCTTCTTCACCTCACTCTCCCCTTTAGCCCTCCAGACCCTGCCCCTCCTCCACCTCACTCTCCCCTTTAGTCTACCAGGACACTAATCCCTTCTTCTTCTTCTTCCTTCCACAGTCTTGGACACACAACATATCCAAGGAGAAAGAGTTCCTGCGCAAACTGGTGAAGGCCAACGTCATCACAGACCTGACCAGGGGCATCTGACGCAACGTCGGTGTGCGCACGCTTCCCTCTCTCTCCCGCGACAACCTTTTCCCAGAACACGGACACGCCCGACGGCATGCTGGGAAATCCGAAATGGCGGAGGAGGAGGTCGGACGGGACTCCCTACTCACTCACTCACTGCCGGGAGAGTTCATATCGTAGGAGATTCTGACGTATGTACTGGTGCCTTCACAACCAAAGACTGTGCTGGGAGTCTTGGAGGATTCAGTTGGAGCTTGGTGGTTTTTCCCTGCGACCGAAGGAAGAACATGGAATTTTTCTGGAATTTTACGCCAGATCGGACAGCTTGGCAGGGCATGACTGGAGTTTTCGCAGTGCCAAATCGTACCTCGGAACAAAGGAGGGGTCTGGTCCTCTCTTTTGGCTGCCTGAATGTATTCCTGTAAATATCAAAGGTTTTTACTGTGCTTTGAGACGAGCTGCAGCAAAAGCGACACATATTCACAGTCCCAGTCACTAACACGCCGTAGTAGACGTTGTACTGCCTATCCAGGGTTTAACAGACAAAGCTTCGAATCAAAATCAAAATCAAAAAATGATCAGCCAAAATGCATTCTTAGCTCTTTCAGTGTGATTGTATTACAAAAGCAACATCTGATTTGGATTTTCTAGAGATTAAAAATTCAAACTACTTCAAAATACTTATCATAGAATATCACGTAATATTCTCATTACACATATACTGAGTCATCAAAGGGCTACTTGTATCAGTATCATACGTATCCGGAACTTTCCTTGTATCTCAAATTCCCAAAAATGAAGAAATTGGAACATTTTCAGTTACTGTTTACATCGATATTAGAGTTTCAATTATTTATGATCAAGTATTATTTTGAAAACAGCTCTAGACCCTGTTAAAAAATTATAAACAAATATATTAGAAATTCTGGAATGAAGGCAAAATTGAAATTTAATATAATGAAATGAAATGAAGTTAAGATTAGAATTAGAATCTGCGTTTTGGTGTATAAAAATAGACATAAACAAAACTCTGTTTTCAGGTCCATGTTATCAAAAGTATAAAAAAAAGTACAATAAATACTTTAAAATTATACAGCAAGTGCAGTTTTTAAAGTAGCAACAGAAAATAACAAAATACTGAAAATCAAAAAAAGGTTTAGCAAATGAAAACTACTCGGATACACGAAAGACAATCTAATGCAGTGGAATAGGACAGACGTTTTTGTCATTTTTGTTTTTAAGTTTTGTTTTTAAGTTTCGCTTGGCAAATACCGACTGAAATGTTGACCCCACAATAGTTTTATACTTCCAACAAATACATTACGTAATTAACCACAAATTGTACTTTTCGTTAAGCACCAATAACAAACAAGAGGTTAGAAAACCGCAAAGCAAACGAACTGACATTTCTATCGTGGAAATTCAAAATGATCGTTCATGTTTAGTTAAAAAAGAAAAACTTAAAATCTTATATCATTTAGACTTGATGTCAGTGAATGTTTTGAAATTTTTCTTTTTGCCTCCATTTCAGAATTTCGAATATTCTTCAGACATTGCATTTTAAGATTTTGACGACTTTGCTATTACTGAAAATACTTCGACACACAAAAGTTACATAAATATTGACAAAAAAAATGACACAAAACTATGCATTATTCACCTTAAAATTTGAAGAAGTGTCCAGGAGCAATGAGGCCCTAAAAGTAGCGCTGTAAATGTAGCCAACTGTGTATTTAAAGTACAACATGCAAAGACGTATATAATGCCACCCTATGTAACATTTAGGACGATAAGTCTAATGTAAATATGTTTTGTACGACTTTAAAGGCGCTGTACCTGATTTATTTTTTTTTCCCGTCTTAAAATCTCAAAAATCAGAACTAGTTTTGTCGTTGTTGCTGTTTATCTCTTACCTTACGCATTCAGAGTACCGAAATACTCACCTAGATGAGTTTGTAAGTGCTTTTCACCAACAACTAGCATCCTAACGTGCACTTCCTGGTCATGAGGCAAGTAAATGCATTAATCAGATGCAGAGCGTTCACTTTGGACTTATTTTGACCTCAAGAGCCGCTTATATAATGCGGTAAGACGAGTTTTGCTTAATTATACGGGGGTCAAAAGTCAGGTACAGCTCTTTTAATAACAGCCAGCATTGCTCCTGGTCGCTTCTTCAAACCGATATCCAAAAAAACATTTCAAATTTTTGATCAAACTTTAGAAAGAAGTGAAATGTACAGAAGCTGAGAGGGGTCACAACAAACGCAAACGCCGCAACAAATACAAATGCCACAATACATTAATAAGCCACAACAAACCAAAAAAAGCCACAACGGAAATGACCGGACTCTATTTTAATGCAAACGCCGCAACAAATACAAATGCCACAATACATTAATAAGCCACAACAAACCAAAAAAGCCACAACGGAAATGACAGGACTCTATTTTAATGCAAACGCCGCAACAAATACAAATGCCACAACACAAACACAAAAGCCACAACACATTAAAAAGCCACAACACATCAAAAAGCCACAACGAAAGTGACAGTTGGACTCTATTTTCCGATGGACCGATCAAGTGACAAGTGAAGAAGAAGAACTACAATGTGAAACGAATAATGATAAAACAATAAATTACTTTTACTTACGTTTCCAACTTCTCCGTTCCTTTACTTTTCACATTGTAGTTGTTCTTCTTCACTTGCCGCTTGATCAGTTCGTTGGAAAATAGAGTCCCGCGGTCACTTCTATTGTGGCTTTTTAATGTGTTGTGGCTTTTTAATGTGTTGTGGCTTTTGTGTTTGTGTTGTGGTGTTTGTATTTGTTGCGGCGTTTGCATTAAAATAGCCCCGCGGTCATTTCCGTTGTGGCTTTTTTTCAATCAATCAATCAATCAAACTTTATTTGTATAGCACTTTTCATACATTTAAAATGTAGCACAAAGTGCTTCACATGCAACAGAAAAATTACAATACAATAATTAAAATCAAGAGCAACCCCCCCATCCCTTTGTTTCATCCATATATACAACCATTTAAACATAAACATAAAAACAAAAACATAAAGGTTATTATAAAAATCAAAGTGCAGAGACTTCAGCACTGGGGTGATGTGCTCTCGCTTCCTGGTCCTTGTCAGCAGTCGTGCTTTTTTGGTGTGTTGTGGCTTTTTGTTGCATTTGTATTTGTCGCGGCGTTTGCGTTTGTTGTGACCCTCTCAGCTTCCGTAGAAGTGACATGTTGCTTGTGTATGATTCTGTATTGTAACATAAAGCTTCTAGTGTGCATTTCGGCTGAGCAAGTCTGATTACAACCAAATGAAATAAGCTTTTTCAATTTAATTTAATTTGCTATCACACTAACAGTATTTAAAAAAAAACGCTAAGTATATCGTATTTATATAATTTGGATTTCTCTTAAATTATTTTGGTCATTTTCCAATCGGTCAAAGTGTCTTCCCTCTCACGGTACAGGCGTTCATATCTCCCTGTTTTTGCTGCAGGCGTTGTTTTCTTCAGCTATCAACAAAAAAAAACAACTTTGGATTGTAGAATATATAAATAAGAATATTTTTGTTCTTAGTTTTGATTTTAATTATTTATTTTGCTACAAAGTCAATTGGTTTTTCTGGTCTCAGGCAGACCCTCTCAACATGCCTCTGTGTTGTAATGTCGTGCTTCCTCTCTGAATGCATGGGCCTCTTCAGTTACTTACGATGTCGACGAAATGAGTTTGAGTTGGATTTAAAGATGCACTGCGGAAATTTTCTGATGGACGGTACGGTACACCAGCTGCTCGTCTCCGTGGAGATGTTCTCGCGTTGCCTGGAATGTTCCACACTATCTCACATTTATTCACTTACGATTTTCATGCTTAAAAATACAAAAACATTCATTCTTACTGTGAGCGGAGGCGCCTCTTCACAGATCTGACCTGTAACTTGGTCTAATGACGTCACCTGCTTGTTTTCACATCACTTGAATGTTCCACACTACAGCATTAAACGTGTCAATCTTGCGTTTATTCGTATGCGATTTTCATATTTCGCATTTCAGAAACATTCATGGAGACTAAAAGCGGAGGCGCCTCTTCACAGATCTGACCTGTAAGTTATTGTAATGACATCACCTGCTTGTTGCCGTGGAGACGTTATCGCATCGCCTCCACACTATAGCATTAAACGTGTCAATCTTGCGTTTATTCGATTGTAATTATCATGTTTCACAATTCAAAAACATTCATGGTGTTGGCGCCTCTTCACAGATCTGACCTGTAACTTGGTCTAATGGCGTCACCTGCTTGTCTCTATGGAGCTGGACAAGTTTAATGTCATACTGTGGAACTTTACAGCCAAAGCAACAACATCTCCATGGAGACGAGCGATGGCCAAACCTCCGCTGCTTTTCTTCATGGAGACGTTATTACTTTGTCTGGAATGTTTCACAGTATGGCATTAAACCTTTCTATCTTCATGGAGACCAAACCAGACCAAGTTACAGGTCAGATCTGTGTAGTGGCGAATGAATGTCTGTTTTTCTAGATATTTTTGAGCTGTAAAACCACCTGTAAGTGAATAAATGTAACTAGAGCTGTTTAATGTCACACTGTGGAACTTTCGAGCCAAAGCAACGACATCTCCATGGAGACGAGCAGATGGCCGAACCTCCGCCAGAAACGTAACACGGTGCATCTTTAAGTCTTCCCTGTTGTCATGGCGTCTGTTTTTGTTGTGTGACATTTGAGTTGTTAAAAGGATGAGTTTGTGTTGTGTGGGTTAGGACATGGTTGAAGATGCTGTATCACATTTTGAACCATGAACCATTTGAGCTGTTACACCAGAGAAACTTGGACAGAGAAATAACTGGAGTCTGGGCAGTTATTTCCACCTGGTTTTCATTTTCATCCAGTGGTCCAACTACTATAATTAAAATGGTAGTAAAAAAACATGACTGGTCCATTATGTAAGAGTGTTCTGATCATTGGAATCATAAACTGGTCTAACACACGACAAACGATCACAAAGAACGCAACACTGGCCACGTTTACATGATGGATTTTAATTCCAAATTCATTGTTCTAAATTAAATAGTTTGGAATTAAAATATTCTCCTTCGAGTTTAGATGGAAATAATAATTCCAAATTGAGAAAAACATGTTAAATCACCTTTATATAATTCTGCTCAACATCTTTTCCGGTTTGTCGTTACGCCACGGACACAAACATGATCCAAACTTTTTCCGCAGTGGTTCCGATGATAATTGCGAAGCAGCAGCTGGAGAATTGTCTCCTCACACTTTACGTCTGTGTCAGGAAGAGTGTCAGAGAAGGAGGAAGAAGACAAAGTGAGTGTGAGGCTGTTCTACCTCAGCCCACTCCCACATCCCGCTCACAAATCCAAAGAGACGTGGATCAAAGTCCAAAGTCAGGACTGGTGGAGCCGGATCATGTGGATCATGTCAGAAGGACGACACAACGAGCATGTGCCAAAGCATCGACATTATTTTTAACAAGACTAAACGTGAAACATGATCCAGGAATAAATTAATTCTGCTTTAAATTCGTAATAAACCATCTACTTACTTGGCGAGGAGAAATTTGGTTGAAGACGTTTCGCAGCTGAACCAAGCTGCTTCTTCAGTTCTGGTCAGAGCAGAGAAGCAGCTTGGTTGAGCTGTGAAACGTCTTCAACCAAACTAACTTTTGTCCAGTCGACAAACTGAATTTTCTCCTCGTCATGGATTCTACCTGGACGACCGAGGGTTTCTTCACACACCTACTTACTTCTGAATCAAGTTTAATTCCGAAGAATCACTTTCATTAGGAATTAAGTGTTTCAGCGAAATTCATTTTTATTCAGAATTATATTATTTTTATTCGGAATTAAAGCTCTCATGTAAACGTGGCAAGTATCAAATCAAGTATCATCAGGAATTAAAGAGAAGTAAGTTTTCATTAATTATAACACACTTTATTCATAAATATTCTCTATTTAGAAGTCACTATACTTTCAAATTTTCAACTATTTGGTTTAAAACAGGTGTTCAAAACTCAGTCTCATTGTACAAGAAGAAACATCATTTGACCAGAAGCTAAAATGTGTTTAATCATCTGCTAAAATACCAGATCAAATAGTTGGGCTTGGTTGATGTTTGGTTCTCTTCTAGTTAAAGTGGTGGTTTAAACGGTCGGGTACAGAACCTTTAAGAAAACCTCTGATTTTTGCCGTGCTTTGAGTTTGTTCTCTTCTGTTCTGTCAAATACAGTTTTCTTCAGTATTACGCTTTCACCATCTAGCGAATTTTTTTATTTCACTATCACGTCTGAAAGCGAGATATCAGGTTAGTTTTACCGATCTGATATTGTGTCTCTGAGCAAGACACTTCAAACTTTACAAAAAAAACAAAAAACCAAAAGACCAAAAGTAGAAACCTGTAAAAGTCGCTCTACGTAACATTTCTAGTCACTTGCTTTGTCCATGGAGATGTTTTCTCATTTTGCCTGGAATGTTCCGCAGTATGACATTGTGTAACATCTCCATGGAGACGAGCAGAAAAGTTACGCACTGTGTCTTTTACTTGGCTATACACAGGAAGAACTGTTACGGAAGAATTATTCTGTTATTTTTGAAGTTTTTTCCAGTTACACAAGTGACACAAACAGGCTTAAAGATTTTATGTACGGAAAAAATATCAAAATTATTCAACCAAATTTATTTCAAGATGTGGAATATTCAAACAAAATGTAATATTTTTTGTGAAACTAACCTGTATCTTAACTGGACATTTTATCACTTTTATTTGGTTTTCAGTCGGGATCAGTCCATGTCAAGTTTTATTTTCAGTTCTATCGATCTACAGAGCACACGTGGCCTGTAGGTGGCGCTGTGGCAAAGGAAAGAGCTCCTGTTAATGTTTTATTACGGTGCATTTTAGTCAGACCAAATGGGAAGTTCACAGTAAAAATTCGAATGAAAATGAAGTACGTATCCCATGATCCTTTGCAGTGTTTTCATTTAAGGCAACGTGATGAAATTGGTTTTACGTTTTTGTTTATATTTCGTGACATTTGACTGTTACTGATGTCCTCTCCGACGCAAAACTCGCCACTGAGAATAGTTGGAATCGTTGGAACAGTGGCAGAGTGGTTAGCGTTGGAGTCTCAGTCCACTGACTCATAATTGTTCATTTTCAACTTCTCAAAAGACAAAAAAAAAAAGCGTATTAGCCCTGCAAAACTATCAAACGTAAGAAATAAAATGAAAATCTGAATTCTAATCAGTATTATTTCACGAACTTATCAGGGGCTCTGAAAAACACTGAAACTGTCAACTTGGTTCATTATCGGTGGTTAATCGAACGGCTTCCATAATTTTGTAGAGTCGCACGATCGATCAAAGGTTTGGACACATTTTTTCATTGAATGTTCGAATTTTTTAATTTTATTTTTATGATTATTTACATTTTAGATTCTGTAAACAAAAAAGTGCAATAAGTCCAAATGTGTTTTATAATTTAGAGTCTTTCTGGTTTGCAGCGATGTCAACAAAGCAAAGGATGAATATTTTGAGGAGCGATTGAAGAAGTTCTCAATTTTGTTAAATAAAAGTACAGATACTGGAGTAAAACTGAAGTAAAAGTAAAAGTACCACTTGAAAAAATCTACTTAAAGGTGCATTGTGTCAAATGCTTTTCTGCATGGAGATGTTATTGTTTTGTCTGGAATGTTCCACAGTATGACATTAAACCTTTCTATCTTCATGGAGACCAAACCAGACCACATTTGAAGCAGAGAAATGACATCTCCATGGAAACAAGCAGCGACGGACCCTCCACCCGAGAAGTTACACAATGCACCTTTAATGAAGAAGCGCATTGAGAGAAGGTTTAATGAGCTCAAATATAAAATAGATTTAGTGTTCAGTACAAAGATGGTTTCAACTGTGTCATCTGGAAACTGAAGTAAAAGTACAAATACCAGAGCAAAATTGTACTACAGTAAAAGTATCACATGAAAAAAAAAACTTAAACTTAAATAAAAGCATTTAAAGTACCCGTTTAAAAATGCACTTAAAGAGCAAAAAGTAAAAGTATTTATGTGCACATTTTGAGGTTTCAAATGTGTTGTTTTTTGTTGTATTTTTTTCAGGAAAAAACAAATGAATTGGGATTTTTTTTTTTTTTTTCTAGCTGTTTTGCTCAAATTATGAATATGTTAAAATTAAACCCTCAGCCTTTTCAGCAGGTCTCAGACAATAATAAAAAATACTTTTACTTTTCAGTCCATTTCAATAATGCAGTGAAGTAGAAAGTTATCTGCTCTCAAAAGTAGTGAAGTAAAAGTAGTATTTTACGTAAAGCTGCGTTGTGGAGGATCTACCAAAAGCTTTTCTCACTTGTCTTGTTTTTTTAGGTATGTTTGAGTTATAAAACCACCTGTAACTGAATAAATGTCAAGTAGAATTTAAAGTCATACTGTGGAACATCCTGGTACAGCAGTGACGTATCCATAGAAACAAGCAGAGGTGGGACTTGAAAGACGTGACTTGGACTCGAGTCAGACTTGAGTCACTATTTTTAGAACTTGAGACTTGACTTGATAAAATGGACTAAGACTTGGGACTCGACTTGGACTTGAAGGTCAGTGACTTGGGACTTGAAGCCTGTGACTTGAGAAGCACTTTTAAATCTGAATTAGCGTAATGATTCACACTAAGATCTTGTCATTTAAAAAAAATAATAATAATAATTAAATTAAATAACAAAAATAAAATAAAAATAAAATAAAATAACTTAAAAATTCATGGTATATTTATATATGAGTATTTAAAGAGTATGTAAGAGTTAAGTAATTTTATTTTTAAGTACAATTTAGTTTAAAATTCATATAAATTGCAAAAATCTAAACTATATTTGGTACTTTTGGTTTGGCTTAAAGACTTGAAATGACTTGAAGCTCAAAGCAGACGACTTGGACTTGACTTGGACTTATGGGGCCAGAGACTCGAGACTCGACTTGGACTTGTCTGTATTTGACTTGGGACTTGACTCAGACTTGAGGTCAAAGACTTGAGATTTACTTAAGACTTGCAAAACAATGACTCGGTCTCACCTCTGGAAAAAAGCAGGAGACAGACCCCAAAATCCTCCAGCCCTGCACTGGTATCGGTGAATATCGGATATCGGCAGACGCTTAAAGCCTCAGTATAACGATTAAAATTGGGACTAAAAAAGCTGCTTTAGTTGAAACCATCTCTACATTTTGAACTTCTCCTGGACAAATGAAGGATTACACGTGTCACATTTAGAGTATTTAACTTATTTTTGACTTAGACTCGTACGTTCACACATCTCGCTTCACATATTTGACGTCTTCACTTTGTTTTTACGTTTCCGAAAAGGTGTGTCCAAACTTTTTCCTGGTCGTGTTAATCGTTTCTGAGTTTCTTTCTTTTTTAAATGTTGTGTTAAATGTGATGTGGAGGCTGGAGACGTGAGTTGTTTTGTGTTTTTGTGGCGGTGGAGCTGCTGGACTGTTGCGTTTGGGTGAATGTTGGAGACACTCGTTTGTGTGGATGGACTCAAAATCCTGTCTTCTATAATAACCTTTAAATAAAACATTATCGATCCATTTCTGCAACTCAATAAACACATTTGTATTAGACACTTATGGACGTGTGTGTGTCTCTTATTCACCTCTGCACTGTACAAGTTATACAATCTCCAACTGCTAACTGGAGGCACTGCTCTGTCTGAAACTCTGTTAGACTTTCATCTGAGTTTAGTTTTAACTCAATCTGACCAGAAAGAACTGACTTAACTGGAAACTACAGATGAGTGAGATGAGATGAGTGGTGCTTTTTAAATAAGTCTCACACATAAAAATGCAGCCACAAGTTAGACGGAAACAAATCAAAAATGCAAAATGACACCAACAGTTTTTCAGTTTGTCACTTTCACGTCTTTTGCTGAAAATCAAACTCCATGGACCATGATCGTTAGTCTCGATCACAGGCTCCTGGAAATACGTTGTTTAAATCCATTTTGTATTTTTTTCTTGAGTGGAATCTTAAAACTTTTTAGACGGTGTTTGCTAATGTGTGTATTGTGTCACCCTGGGAGCTGCTGAACATTCCAACATAGACATACATACTGTACACCCCCAGAACGAAGTCACTACAAAGTATCAATAATTCAATAGTAGTGACACTAACTTTGTGAACACAAGATGTCACGTCCATGACTCCATGGAAATAATTTTCAGTATGATAATGCTGCGTTTGTTTATCCGTCTGTGATGTGACGTCACGTCCACACTTCAACTGTTTTATTCAGTTTCATGTGTCCGACTTGGAGAAAAACTTGGACACTAAACCATAAAACTGTTGTTGTTTAACCACTGGCTGAGTCCCAGGTGCTCCAAAATAAGTCTGTGCTTCAACTACAAAACCTCGAGGAAGAATTCCAGGAATAGAACACAAGACACACAAGTATGTTCATGATTCATTATATTAGTGAAGTGAAAGTGTTTGTGTCGTGTGAGAGTCCAGCATTTTGACATGTTAGAAGGAAATGGACTAAAAATGACACCGACAACCAAACCCCCAGCAGACAGTAAGTACAGACGCAGTAAAGTACTGCAGTACAGACGCAGTAAAGTACTGCAGTAATACAGACGCAGTAAAGTACTGCAGTAATACAGACGCAGTAAAGTACTGCAGTACAGACGCAGTAAAGTATTACAGTAATATGAGTGACTGAAATTGTCATTTAAACACCAAATCTCCAAACACAATAAAAACAGTTCATATTTTAAAGGGATTCTGGGTGCAGCTTCTTAGATTCTATCTCAAAATTTTTGCTCAGTCTCCTTTGAGTTGTTCCGAGTTTCACCGTCCAAGGAAAAGGGGCGTGTTGCTAGGCAACATCATCGGACTTCCAAGTCAGATGGACAAACAAACCAACCAGATAAACAAACCATACGTTTTATGCCACAGTGGAATATTACAGTCTAAAAAAACAACATTTCCATGGAAACCAGCAGGAGGAGCACGTATGAGTCAGGTTTGTGGAGATGTAAGTTAGGTCATTTTATTTTTTTATGGTCATTGATTTATTACTATGCACACATTATTATACAGCCTATTCATGTCTAATGGTTTATTTTACCTCAACATGTATCATAGTTTTGTCATATTTAAAGATGAGCTGTGTAACTTTTCTGGTGGAGATGTTATTGTTTTGTCTGGAATGTTTCACAGTATGGCATTAAACCTTTCTATCTTCATGGAGACCAAACCAGACCAGGTTATAGGTCAGATCTGTGGAGAGGCGACCCCACAAGTATTTTTGAGCAATAAAACCATCTGTTATAAATGTAAAGTAGAGCTGTTTAATGTCACACTGTGGAACATTCCAGACAAAGCAACGACATCTCAAACAAAACAAGCAGGTGACAGACCCCAACCAAAAAGTTACAGAGTGCACCTTTAAGACATTTTAATGTACTATATTTGATCTTTTTTATTATATTATTGTATTGTAACATCACAGATCCAGCCCCAGCCCCATGCAGCCTCCTCTCCACACCCAGGACGACATGTGTTTCCTGGGATGTCCCGTGTCCTTTGACCCTGTCCCCCCATCCCCCTGTCTCCGCCCTCTCCTTCACCTCTTCATAAACACTTCATTTTATTTCCATTGACAGGTTTAAGCCCCGCCCCCTCCGCTCCACAGTTCTCCAGTGGGATTGTAAAGAATAAAGCTGAGAGGAAAACAACAGACGACTGAGGTGATCTGACACTGAAACTGTCCTCCACTCATCAATACACGTCCACTGTTACCATGACAGCGTCTGTGTGATTTAAGTTGGAGTTTTTTACCATTCAGATTCACTGACGACATCAAAACCATGAATGAACAAATATGAAATGTAATGAACAAAAAACTGAAAGAACTTAAGTCATGTTTTATATTTCAGGTTCTGCAAAGTTTCCACCCTTTGCTTTGATCACTCTTGACATTCTACTAATTAACCCTGACTTGGCACAGTTATGAAGTGAAAATGATTTCAGGAGAGAAGCTCATTGAGAGAAGACCAAGGGTTTGCAGCTTTGATGATGAACATATTTATTTAGTTATTTGAACATGTTCTTTGTTACATAATCTTGCTTCATGTACAGGGTGTCCCAAAAAAGGCCAATCATTTTTACAATTTTTGTTGAAATAACCTCACATTTTCACAGAATGTATAGAAACAGATCAAGATTTTATGTTTAATGTTTTGTTTTTTGTTTTGTTGTGTTTTCTGTTTGAGCCGTTCACTCCCAAACAGAAGACATTTTGTGTCTTGGAAGCTGCTGCACTCACCCAAGACTGTGCAGCTTCAACACAGCATTTGGAAAAACTTCACCAACAGGCAAACAAATTTGGACTTGGTACGAAAAATATAAAGAGTTCGGTTGATTATGCAGGACTAAAGGATCTGATACCAACATTGTTACGGCCCAAGGCCTTAGTTCTAATATTTCTGCAGAGTTCTCTTGATTCCTGCTGCACGAACCCTGGTCTGTGATTGGTGGGGCAAGTCCACGCCCACTTCACCTGCAGCCACCTCCCCCTATTTAAGGAGATTGCCAGCACCTGTTCGGGGCTGCTGGCCTTGGTGGTCAGTCTGCCATTTTGTTTCGTGTGTGTGTGTAGTTTAGTTTAGTTCTGTTTTGTGCCTTTTTTTGATTTGGTCACTCGATTCTGTTTGTGGGCTTATGTGGTTTAATTTGGGGAACTTGTGTTTTAGTTTAGTGTGTGTCCCTAAGTTTTACCACTCGTTTTTGTGTAAGCCTGCGTGACCCCTTTTCTGGCACAAAACTCTGTTTATTCTGTTGTTCTGTTTCTTAGTTTAGGTTGTTTTCTGTATAATTTTAGTGTTTTGTTAATTTACCTTTTACATTCCTGTTAATTAAACACTACTTAATTTATTCCATTTTACATCTTGGTTTTATTTTTGTTACTTCCCTCACCCCAAACAAGCTGGGTCGTAACAAACATCAACATCATCATTGAGCTGGACTTAGGCCCCACCCACACTAGTTCGTATTTGAGTTGTTTTCGTTGTAGATGCAGTGTTCATTCACATTTATCTAACTGAAAACGGCTCAAGAGACGAAACGATCTGGTGCCTCCAGCTCCCACAAATTCATCTGAGTACAGATCTGATCCAGCACTGTGTGGACGCCTGAAAACACTGATACTCTGATGTAGGTCTGTTCACCGTGAAGTAATTCACCTCCAAAACACTAAGAGTCTAGAATATGTGTCCATTCATATAAACGTGTGTCTGTGTGTACGACCTGCAGACGTATAATCTCTGAAAAGTTTCACATGAACCATCTCCAACACGACAGAAACACAGAACAGACTCACCACCAGCAGAACACCCCTCTGTCACAGAAAGAACACTCAGATTCCACTGAGTCGTGTCCTTTGATCCGACAGAAACTGAACCACATCAGCGACACAATAGTGAACTGTTTTTTTGAGCTCAGTTTATGTAAATGAGTCATGTGGTTTTAAGTTTCATTTCTGTAAAACATAAACAAATATGCTCAAAGTTGTGTGGATAAGGAAGACTTGCGGACACAGAAACGACGTGTCTGGATGCAGATTGTTTCTGATACGGTGACACAGTGATACATTTCAGTGTAAACATAGTCTTAGTAGTTTTCAGGATAATTGCTTTTAAAGTGATGTCAGATTTTTTGGGACACTGTATTTGTTAGGTCTCCATGGAAACAGTCAGGAGGCCAAATGGTCTGTGGAGATGCAAGTCCACTCACAGGAAGGACCACAGACTGTATAAAGAGGTGGACTGAGAGAGTGTGACATCACCCACAGTGTTCAGCTCCAGTCAAATGAAGCTTGTCAAGGCCTGCAGTTATAGGAGCAGATCTGGAGCCGAGGTCCATGTTAGGAAATGGAATTTATTTATTGACAAAACGAAGTAAAAAACAACAGAATGATGTAGCTCGGGTTAATACGAACAGAGAGAGGACACAATTTTTCAGTGTAAGTCAACTGGTGCCAGAGAAGATGGAGCCAGAAGCGCCTCCATGAACATTTGTATTTAAAAGGTAGTGGCTGAATCTATGGTAAGGATGCATGTTTTTTTTATGTTCAACCAAAAAACAACCAAAATACATGCTTTTTTGGCAAAAAAGTTATATACTGGGGCTCCAACTCTTTTTACATGACTCTATAAAAAGACTAAAATCATTGTTTTAAAAAGGCAAATGTACAAATTCTAAAATAACAACTCAACTCTAATAGAACAATAGAACTTTAGGCCAATGAGATTCGTTTGGTCTTCCGATATTCTATGTTATTAGGTTCTTTTTTTCAGACCCAGAGTGTTGTTTCATACCTGACAGTTTGGACTGTTCACTAGCCTGCCTCCACCTGTAGGAAGGCAGCGCCAAAACCTGTTTAAATCAGCTGACCAGACACGTCACAGCAACATCACGTGACTCTGAGGAAGACGCTAGTGAGCAGTCCAAACTGTCAGGTATGAAACAACACTCTAGGTCTGAAAAAAAGAACCTAAAAACATAGAATAGGACTTTAGGGTTTAAAAAGAAACTCTTCCATGTCCATAAAAGTTCTCTCTCCCCCTCT